TCAACCCCTTTGCGCCTTAAATTCTGCAGCTTCCAAGCTGCAGAACGTTTCAATGCTTCGCAGGAACTCTGAGGAAAATCGCTGAGGGTCCTGTAGGATCATCGCCCAGGCCGCGGGCTGGGTTTCCTGGGGATCTCTGGGATGATTGGGGTACCCCAAGACCAATTGTTGCCCCATTGAAAGCGACCAATTTAGGATGATTTTGGGACTCCACATCTTAGGAAAACTCCGTGTTGTGCTGGTGTGTTTTTGTGTTTGGGGGTGCGTTCATCCAGCACAGTTTCTGCACTTGTAGCTAGCGTGCAAGTGGATATGTCAGCAGAAAATCCTGGAAACAACATCCAAACAAGACTTGAATATAAATACCAGGGCTGCCAACCCTCCCTATCTGCAAAAAATGGTCGCACCGGGCGGGTATTAAGAATAATAAACACATATGATAATAATCATGAGCATGCGTAAAAAATATTATATACATCTGTTTAGAATCACTTATAGATACACTTACCTCGTCGCAAAAAAAAAAAACAACTTTCCATCATCCTCCAGCTGGAACGCTGCGACCACACGGGCCACCATGGCTAACTCCTGCAGCTATGCATGGCACTTCTTCTGGAATCTCTGTGACACCAAGACATACCAAGCCTCGATGCTTTTCTGTATGGATGCATGCATGCATGTATGTGCAATATTGTTATCATTATTATCCATATCATATACACATGTTATACTATGCATGTACATATATATATATATATATCCGTGTGTGTGTATGTGCATATCTATATATCTAATGTGTCCACAATACTCCTCACATGCATACTCGGATTGGGATCGTCTTCTCTGCTCCAAAGAAAGGACAATTTTGAGAATCTCCTCTGGTGCGGCAGTTGTTACTGGAAGATCTGCGCAGTAGTCGAAGATATCCTGGCACCGCTCAAATTAAACCCGTTTGTGGCAAGTCATTCGAGATGGTTTGTGGATGTTTGTGGCATTCCTCTGTCGGAATTGAGGTCATGCCGGGCTAGTTCTCATTCCCAAACATCTTTGATGCGGGGGTCGGCCAGTGACGTCACAAAAAACATGCTCAGAATCTAGTTGTCTCCCTGTTTGATGGTAAATTATGGTAAAATCCTAATATGTTCCCATATTTATCCATATTTGAACATTCCCCGATGGTTTCATGCCCAATCAAAGGTTGGATCTGCGGCAAAAAACGGTGCAGTTCAAGGCACTCGCAAGGCGCGATGAAGCTCCAGTAAGCACTCGGAGACCTGTCACGCTGCGAAGCTGGGGATTTAACCAGCAAAAATGGTTAGACGTAACCACCACATGGGAATTTGATGGTATTTAAAGCTGGTACAACTGAATTTGTGATAGCTAAGTTGGCTCAGTCTGGTAAATAACTGTTGGGTGGAAAATATGGTAAGGTAATTAATGAAGTTTGTATGATAAGGTAAGGTATAACATATCGAACTAGTTAGATGGGGGGCCCACCTTGTAGGGGGCCTTTTCCTGCTTTATTATCACTGGGAATCCCGTCATCCTGTCCGTAACCAGCCAGGGTTTACCCATAAAAATTGGGGAGCACCCGATGGAAAATGGTGGATTCAATGGACATAGTCTTTTATATCTTTTATTGGAAGGGTCCCTGTAGTTGTCAATTGGTAAACTAACATAGCTATGGAAAATCACTATTTTTAATGGGTAAATCCACTATAAATGGCCATTTTCAATAGCTATGTTGGTTTACCAGAGGGTAGTTGCCAATTGGATTGCATTGTTTAATCTACCCATCCACAGAAATGGCACATGCGATCAAGTAGTGATGCATGGCTACTGTGGGATTTCGACCAGTCAGATCCAAAATAGCAAGGCAAAGCACCAGCCACGAGTCGACCAGGCAAATCTGTAGATATATCAGCAATAGATCCAATTCGTTGGAGCAGTTCTGGTTGCATAACTTACCTATCGTTTGGGGCCCTTTCGCAAAGGGTGTCCCTGAATTTTTTGAGCACCTATTGGCGGAAAATCCGCCTGGAAATGAGCGGATGCCAAACACATCAAACACAGCCCACAGCTTTGGGGAATGCTTTGCGGGTTGGGTACCCAACATCACACCAGGATAGGACATACGATTTGGGCCTTTCCATTTGCCTTTGCTTCTGCACTACTTCTGGGATTCCATCATGTCCAAGCGGTTAAAAGCTAGTTGGTTCAAGAGCTTCTACCTCAATAGTAGGTTCAGGGTTGCTCCCAACACCTCAAAACACCAGGGGAGCAAATCGCCCCTTTTAAACTTTAAAGCAGCAAAATGACCAATTCTGCCCATTGCTTTCTCCAACCGCTGTGGTTGAAGCTGCACTTGGAGCCAGGAACCAAAGAACAATTGCAGCACACATGGGGAGAAAAACAACCATGACAATAATCTTTGTGGACGGTTCCAACCTGCTGGGATTGCTGGGTATTTCCAGTGTCCCTTAGATCCCCTTAGTGATCATCCCCTCGATCTTTGGGGAATCCTGTGATCCACCACATCCACCACCCAAACCGCCCAACAAAGCACTCCCTTTTGACATCAGTATAGCTTCATCAGGCTTCATCAAACTCGGGCATTGTGTTCAGCAACGCGGCAGATTGGATTCGCCCAACCTATGCGGATAGCGAAGCGCTGGCTGAAAACCATCACGCGATATCCCAAATACATGTATACGAGTCAATTGGGATCATCATCTCAAAGAATGAAACATGAAAGAGGTTATCATGCGGGAATTGGACATAGCTATGGTATGCTACGGTCATGGCCCATTTACAAACCGCAAACCGTTACCCAAGTTACCTATATAAAATAATACATTATATTAAATAATGTATGTCGAACAAAGCAGCAGTTCTTTGGGAGGAACCCTTCCCAGGAGCGGTAAAGAAAGTGATTCTCCAGAGTTATGTCAAAGTCAAATTACCAACGGGCAACCAATCTCATGAAAAAGACCGATCCAAAAGGTGATGATGAAAACCAGCGTGTTTCAAGGTGACCTTGCCTCAGCCTGAGCCTTGCCCTTGCGGCACTTGTGGCGTCATGCCCATTGGAGCGCAGGCCATACCCATGCCATAGGGCGCCATGCCACAAGAGCCCATGGGCATGCCCATCATGGCACCCATGCCTGGTGCCATGCCCATGCCCATCATGTCCATACCTCGTGACGGCTCCGATTCGAAACCCGTCCAACTCCCATCTCCATTGTGTATATGAAACATATGCAATATGGGTAAATCATAGTAATTCATTAACCTGAAATAATGCTGTATTGGGATAATTTCCCTTGCTAACCATCCTTCCAGTGAGGTCGTGAGGTCGTTGTAGTTTAACCTGATGTAATTTCATGAAATTACTGCCATCCACGCGCTTGCTGGCTGCGATGTAGCTATCAATGAAGAAGCTCTAGCTGTTTCTATAAATTGTCGCTGGTTCATTTGACTTGATGAATAACTTTAGGCGCAATGAACACCGAACCCATCTGCAAAGACCAACGTGCAGAAGCTCTTGTGATAAAATGTTGCTGCCTTCCTATAGGAATGAGGAACGAAAAAAACATGTTCTAGACTTCAGCAAACGCCCTGTCATGTTCCAAAAGTATCCAAAACTGCCAAAAACGATCTCCCTTGAGAACTGCGATCAGAAATCAGCAACTAAGCTCTTTACCCATTGGCATTCCTGCCATACCACCCATAGCTGTTCCCATGGCCCCCATGGGGGCTGCGCCAACTGCGCCCATGGCCATGCCCATTCCAGTCATATTGCCTGGGGAGCAACCCATCTTGGCACCAGTTGAGCCACCCTTAAAAACCTATGACAGTCAACGGAGTCAACTGGGATTGTCATCCCATTTGAAGAAACATGACAGCAGATCATGGCTCCACCCGAAGCTGTGGGTCTTACTCCAGTGACCATGATGGAGATCGAACAGCCCATCTTTTCAATGGGTTGATTCCCCTTGCGGATGGGATAGGAAGGATTCAAGCTTCCAAGATTAATACCAGTATATACCAGTAGTTTGGGGGAAATTACATCTATTTGCAAGCTATTTCGCTGTTCACCATGTTAATCGTATAAAATGATGTTCCTTGCTAAATATCTAACTTTATATAACAAAGATGTACTGAGATTGTTGTGAGATAGCTACAATATTCGCGGACTGATGGTGGTACAACCAACGAGTGGCTGGAGCTGTCATAGCATCCCAATAATTGTTCCTTCTTGGGATGAATCATCCCAAATGAGGATGAAATCATGGTCTTTGCCAATCAATTATAGAGGGTTCGACTGCATATCTTCTCCCTTAAGGGATTCCGAACCGGTTCTGGTCATTAGAAGTGACTCATCCCCCGTTTTTTGACCTACGAGTAGGTCATGGCTCCGCTTGGTCCCCAGCCTTGATTTCCAGAAAAAGCTTGCTCAAGGGATTGTGGTGGTCGTGACGCGGCTTTTGCAGTTGCACCCGAGACACCTCAAGCCGTGCAGCGCCGTGCAGCGCCGTGCAGCTGAGATGGTTGTGTCACACAACTTGGTGGTAAAAGGACCCCTTTATTGAGATATGAGTCAAGTCGGGATAATGATTCCAAAAAAGAATTGGGAAACACCAAAAATACTAGAAAGCACCAACCAGCACATTACCTCAAGGGAAGATGAGGCAAATCCAGCAGTTCTCAAATTGGTTCTGCTGATTCCAATTGGACTTCCATCTCTCTCCAAATCTACGTCTAGCTTTCATCACCAAGCACCTCAACTCCCCCACACCTTCTCACCATAACTTTCCCATGCAAATGGCAGTCTCGTGCCTGGAATCTGCGGCGCCATCTGCGCCATCTGCGGTGCCATCTGCGGCGCCATCTGCGGCGCCATCTGCGGTGCCATCTCCGCTGACGCCGGTGCCGACAACGGTGCTGTCGGGGCCACGGCGGCGCTGGCGCCCGCGCCCAAAATGTTCCGCAGCGCCATGGCCGTCTGCTCTGGTGGATGCGCTGCCTGTGCGGCCTGCGCCGCGGGAGGCGGGGGAGGTGGCGCCGCTGGAGCTGGAGGGGCAAGGGCGGCGGCAGCTTCGGCGTCGGCCTTGGCTTTGGCTTCAGCTTCCTTAGTGGAGTTCAGTTGAAGAAATGGAGTTGAAACCTGGAGAGATGGGGAAAGCCCGCAAAAAATGTGAGTTTCAGCTGCCTAAATGGGGAGTAAAACAAGAGGCTTAACTAGCCAAAGTCGGTAACAACTTATTTTGATGATGATCAGCGCAATCAGTTCATGCTGAATAGCACATAGAATATTAAACTCCCTCTCATGTTGGAATCATCAAAGCATTTGTTCGAATCAATTGGCATCAACGGACAAATATACCCAAGACCCAAGGCATTTCACCAACTCCTTCAAGGGCTGGATGATGCATCAAGCTTCCTCCTGAAGTTTAGCTTTGGCCTCGAACTCCGCTTTTGCCTTCTCCACCGCCTCTTGTTGGTGCTTAGCAATCAGCCGCGCATGGAAAGGGTTCACAATGGCGCCCTTCTTAGCACCATCTGCAGCCTCTGGCTTCTTGGACCCGGAGGCTACCATCTTATCCACCGGTTCATTCATATAGTCCTCAGGGTTGGCGGCCTCAACCCTTTGAAAAAGATGAATTGCTCAGCTGGAACATTGTTGGGATGAACATTACCACTTTCATGACAGTAAACAAAAATCGAACCGCCGGTCCTCAGGGGATTTTTCGGGCTTGGAAGCTTCACCTTCCTTGGCAGGTGACTTCTCCTTTGGCTTCAGTTTTTTGCCTTCAGACTCCGAGGAGTCCTTCTTCTTGGCACTTTTGCTGCGAGATCTGCGCGCTTCTCGGGCGCTGTCCTGGAATCTTATGCTGTTATGTCATGTCATGTACATATTTCCCGCATCCCCTGACCATCAAAATGCCCATACTGCTGCAAAACTGCTTACACATAGATCCCATTTTAATATACCTTCCCCACACGAAATACCGACCAAAAAGGCCACCATCACCTATCAATTATGAGGATGAGGTCACTATTTGGTAGGTGACTATTTGGGCTGGGCCTGCGAAGGTGGAAAAATAAGAAAAAATACGAAATAATAAGAAAAAATAGGAAAAAAATAAGAAAAAATAAAAACAATAAAAACAAATATATAATTACACATAAAAACAACTAAAAACACATAAATAAAAATAAAAACAAATAAGAAAAAATATAAAAAAAAAGAAAAATAAAGAAAAATCAGAAAAAATAAAAAAAACATAAACAAATAGGAAAATAAGAAAAAAAAATCGGGCTCTCCAAGGATTTTTTTAAATTTGTTTTATTTGTTTTAAATTGTTTTTATTGGTTGCCCTCCCAGTTGGTGCCCTACTAGATAGCGCGCTGGTTCTCACATAAGAACCTACGACTGGATGATCCCATTGCATTCCCTGCCCCACTTTCCCAGCGAGCAGGTATTGGAGCCACTAGTCGTTGACTAGTCGTATCATCTCCATACATAATTTCCACAATGTGATGCCCCATGTATAAGTCCGTTGTAGATAAAATCCTACACAAGTTAGTTATATTTAAAAGATTTTAAAAGAATAGCAAACTACAGGGCTCCCGATTTAATTGTCACAGTTTCCTTGTTATCCAACACAGTTAAAGGCCGATATAACCAAATTATTCCAGACCGGTCATCTATCATCCCTATATAGGCCTCAGTTGTGCTTGTCTCAAACAACTCACCCCACCAGCTAAGTTTGCCAATGATTCTTTTTTGGTTCTCCATTCGGACAGTAAATGTGCAGCAGAATAAAACTATTTGACAGTCATGTTGACCCACTCCCTACATAATAGCAGACTGTCCATGTATCATCCCCTGCCCATGGGTGGTACTGTTCCCAATAAATCAGGTAGGTTCATAACCCTCTACAACAACATCAACAACTATATAATCAATCAGGCTTACTGGTCAGTGCTGAGTCCTCATACCAGAACAAACGGGTCATTTCATATAAATATGTTATTTATTGTATAATCCCCCGCGGCCATCCAAGTTCTCTCTCTCTCTCTCTCTTTCTCTTTCTACATTACCTTCAAACAAAATCTGCCTCAGCCCGCTATGGTTGATGCTTTAACCCGAAGACTGAAGAAATTATGCGGGAAAATCGGAATATATATCCTCTGCAGCCATCCGAAGTATGTTTGTTTGTGGTCTTGATGGGAAACTCATGGGGAAAATCCAACTTCTAGCTCAACCCCTAGTGGTTACAGGCAAACATGGTTGATGGATGTTGATGGGTTGTACCGGCCGCTTCAGCCTCAAAAACCTCGGACAAAACGTCTAAGGTCTCCTTGTCGTTTTTCTTCTCCTCTTCCTTCCTCTTCACCGGGCTCCGCCTCGGCGACCGCCGCTTCGATTTGCGGCGGCTGCGGCTGCGGCTGCGCCGCTTCTGGCGGCTGCGGCTGCGGTCACGGCGCCCCCGGCGGCTGCGGCTGCGCCGGCAACGGCTCTTACCTTGGGGCTGCCCGGAGAGACCCTGAAACCCTGAAAAATGGTAAGTAATGCCCCAAATATTGATAATATTGTATTGTTGCCACATCTTGAAGGTTTAGGCTCCAGTCACAAGGTTTGCATAGGTTCCTGTCACTGGGTTGACGCAAGTGAAAATAAGCGGAACACATATTTTTTTCGAACATGTTCGGGGATGACAATCCTGACCTTTTAAATTGGAGCTTTCAGACATTCCATCATACGATAAAATATCTAGATCAAACACGGATAAAATGACCCTGCACAATTTTCAGGATTTGAGGTTCTAGTGCGGCTCTAAGGGATTAGGGAAGGTGATCCGTCAAATTCTGCTGATGACATCTGATGACCTACTTGAACTTCTGGCAAAACGTTTGTCTTGTTTCGAGGTCCTCACATGGGTTTCGCTGAGCCCAACCGAGTTTCATCCCATTTCATACGTCATACAATTGTTCTGCATGATCCTGTGCGAAAGTAATGATAAAATCACCTATTTCCACCGCCTTGTCATCAACACGCAACTCCTTCGTGGGGAATGCTAAAATTGGGATGGTTGACGGATGGTTTACACACCATTTTTGGGATGACCACCCACGAACGGGCTTGACGCATCCTTAAAATAACCCCTCAGTTGACAAAAAAAAAGTTATAACGCAACTTATTGCAACATCTTACAACGATCATAACTATTGATGAACCAGCTATGAATCCCAGTGGATCATCATTTTTGTTGGTTCATGACTAAGCTCTGTTTTTGTTGGTTGAATCCAGCACATCTCCAAGGTTCTGCGCCGGCTCTTCCGCCGTTTCTCGCGGCTGCGTTTGCGGCTGCGGCTGCGTTTCTTGCTGCGGCTGCGCTTGCGGCTGCGCCGGCGGGAACCAGAACCCGAACGGCTCCGGCTGCGCTTCGTTTTCTTCTTCTTTCCTGGAGGATTGGTGCCCCCAGGTCGCTGGCTAAGTTGGTTCATATAAGCTCAAGAACTAGGGTTTGTATGGGTTTATGGTGACTATAACTAATTACAGGCTATGGTACACTACAGTTAGATGGGTACCAAACCAACTTAATTAATGGCTGCACCACATTGTGGAGAAGGGATTGGCACTGAGGTCGTCCGTGTGAGGCTGCTCTCGTTTTTTCTTTTAAACCTGCCTCATTGTTGATGTCTAACCTTGCACTTATGGGGTCTCAACAATATCGAGTCCAGGTTTCTGAGTTCTCAGCCACTGAATAGGTGAACACCTTCAACACTAAGATCAAAAATCAAAATGTTGGACAGGCATAGTACAAGGTGGTGCCCCAGTTTGTTTGCTTCGTTTGCTAAGACTGCTATACGTGCGTTTATAAGTCCAACACAACGAGGGTTCATAGTAGATATGCATTATTAGAGCATGGCGGTTATAAATCAACAAACAGAAGTGGGGGGGGGCACAACCTTTTAGGTGATGTCTTATTCAACCAGGAGAATTGAGGTTGAAGGGCTTCCAAGTTTCTCTTGCCACTGGCAGAACTCTCATCGTCGCCAGAGTCATCTTTCTTTTTGGCTTTGCCCTTGTCGTCCGAGTCATCCGATTCATCCTTTCCAGAGAAACGCATTGCAAAGGAAGGCGTCAAAGAGAAAACAAATGTCAAAGTCCCAGTCCAAAGGCCTATAGCGCATGTTATATATATATATACTATGTATCTCTCTATGTGCACATTATTTGTGCACAATCTTGTGACTGTCCCAAAGCTCCTTCTTCGCCTTTTTTTCATCCTTTTTCTCATCTTCCTTGGATTCTGCTGCTTCCTTAGCGTCTTTCCTCAGTCTTCAGCACTGTCTCAGTCTGGAGTTGCAGAACTCATACATGGCCAATTCCCAGGGGGCCGTAAAATACCGTATACACAAGTAAATAAAATAGACATGATCACAATAGCAGCAGAATCATCAAAAGACTCCAGCCAATTCAATAAACAAAATGCAAATATCTGCTAATAACATCATATATATATATATTCAGATATCATATTTATACACTCATGAATACGAATATATTGGGGATACTCCTGGCCGAGCTACTCATCTGCTTCCTTCTTCTTTTGTTTCTCCTGCATTTTGTTGGCCAAGTCCTCAGCAGCCTTTTTCTTGGCCACGTGGATGCTGTCATCTTCACCTGGGGCGCCCATCATGTCACCATCCGGGATGGGATTCGGGGGGGTCAAGGATGAGCAATATGTGGTTCAATGCAATGAAAAACATGGAATAACATGGAATAACATGGTAAAACATGGAACAACAAGGAATAACATGGCAAAAACATGGAATAACACTGAATAACATGGTATTAAATGGAATAACATGGAAAAACATGGAATAACATGGTATAACATGGTATAACATGGAATAACATGGTAAAACATGGAATAACATGGTATAACATGGTATAACCTGGAATAACATGGTAAAACATGGTAGAACATGGAATAACATGGTATAACATGGTATAACATGGTATAACATGGTATAACATGGAAAAACATGGTATAACATGGTATAACATGGAATGACATGGTATAACATGGTAGAACATGGAATAACATGGTATAATATGGTATAACATGGAATGACATGGTAGAACATGGTATAACCTGGAATAACATGGTATAACATGGTAGAACATGGAATAACATGGTATAACATGGAATGACATGGTATAACATGGCAAAAACATGGAATAACACTGAATAACATGGTATAAAATGGAATAACATGGTAAAACATGGAATAACATGGTATAACATGGTATAACATGGAATAACATGGAATAACATGGAATAACATGGTATAACATGGAATGACATGGTAGAACATGGAATAATATGGAATAACATGGTATAACATGGAATGACATGGTATAACATGGTAGAACATGGAAAAACATGGTACAACATGGTATAACATGGAAAAACATGGAAGAACATGGAATAACATGGTATAACATGGAATAATATGGTATAACATGGTATAACCTGGTATAACATGGTATAACATGCTATAACCTGGAATAACATGGTATAACATGGTATAACATGGAAAAACATGGTATAACATGGCATAACATGGAATGACATGAAATAACATGGTATAACATGGAATGACATGGTATAACATGGTAGAACATGGAATAACATGGTATAACATGGTATAACATGGTATAACATGGAATAACATGGTATAACATGGAAGAACATGGAATAACATGGTATAACATGGTACAACATGGAGTAATCTGGTATAACATGGAATGATATGGTATAACATGGAATGACATGGTATGACATGGTAGAACATGGAATAACATGGTATAACATGGAAAAACATGGTATAACATGGTAGAACATGGTATAACATGGAATGACATGGTATAACATGGAATAACATGGAATAACATGGTATAACATGGAATGACATGGTATAACATGGTAGAACATGGAAAAACATGGTATAACATGGTATAACATGGAAAAAACATGGAAGAACATGGAATAACATGGAAAAACATGGAAGAACATGGAATAACATGGTATAACATGGAATAACATGGTATAACATGGTATAACCTGGAATAACATGGTATAACCTGGAATAACATGGTATAACATGGAATGACATGGTATAACATGGAATAACATGGTATAACATGGAATGACATGGTATAACATGGTAGAACATGGAATGACATGGTATAACATGGTATAACATGGAATAACATGGTATAACATGGTATAACATGGCATAACATGGAATAACATGGTATAACATTGTAGAACATGGAATAACATGGTATAACATGGAAAAACATAGAATTACATGGTATAACATGGAATGATATGGTATAACATGGAATGACATGGTATGACATGGTAGAACATGGAATAACATGGTATAACATGGAAAAACATGGTATAACATGGTAGAACATGGCATGACATGGTAAAACATGGTAGAACATGGAATAACATGGTATAACATGGAATGACATGGTATAACATGGAATAACATGGAATAACATGGTATAACATGGAATAACATGGTATAACATGGAAGAACATGGAATAACATGGTATAACATGGAATAACATGGTAAAACATGGAATAACATGGTATAACATGGTATAACATGGAATAACATGGAATAACATGGTAAAACATAGTATGTTATGGTATAACATGGTAAAACACGGAATAACATGGTATAACATGGTAAAACATGGAATAACATGGTATAACATGGAATGACATGGTAAAACATGGCAAAACATGGAATAACATGGAATAACATGGAATAACATGGAATAACATGGAATAACATGGTACAACATGGAATAACATGGTATAACATGGTATAACATGGTATAACATGGAATAACATTGTATAACATTGTAGAACAAGGAATAGCATGGTATAACATGGAACAACATGGAATAACATGGTATAACATGGAATGACATGGAATCACATGGCATAACATGGAATGACATGGTATAACATGGAATGACATGGAATAACATGGAATAACATGGAATAACATGGTATAACATGGTATAACATGGTAGAACATGGAAAAACATGGTATAACATGGTATAACATGGTATAACATGGAATGATATGGTATAACATGGAATGACATGGTATAACATGGTAGAACATGGAAAAACATGGTATAACATGGTATAACATGGAATGATATGGTATAACATGGAATGACATGGTATGACATGGTAGAACATGGAATAACATGGTATAACATGGAAAAACATGGTATAACATGGTAGAACATGGCATGACATGGTAAAACATGGTAGAACATGGAATAACATGGTATAACATGGAATAACATGGTATAACATGGAATGACATGGTATAACATGGTAGAACATGGAATAACATGGTATAACATGGAATGACCTGGTATAACATGGTATAACATGGTATAACACGGAATGACATGGTATAACATGGTAGAACATGGGAATAACATGGTATAACATGGAATGACCTGGTATAACATGGTATGTTATGGTATAACATGGTATAACACGGAAAAACATGGTATAACATGGTTTAAGAGGGTTTAACATGGAATACCATGGTATAACATGGAATGACATGGTAAAACATGGTAAAGCATGGTATAACATGGAATAACATGGAAAAACATGGAATAATATGGTATAACATGGTATAACATGGTATAACATGGAATGACATGGTATAACATGGTATGACATGGTAGAACATGGAATAACATGGTATAACATGGAAAAACATGGTATAACATGGTAGAACATGGCATGACATGGTAAAACATGGTAGAACATGGAATAACATGGTATAACATGGAATGACATGGTATAACATGGAATAACATGGAATAACATGGCATAACATGGTATAACATGGTATAACCTGGAATAACATGGTATAACATGGTATAACCTGGTATAACATGGTATGCTATGGTATAACATGGTATAACACGGAATAACATGGTTTAACATGGTATAACATGGAATAACATGGTATAACATGGTATAACATGGAATAACATGGAATAACATGGAATAACATGGAATAACATGAAATAACTTGGGATAACATGGTATAACATGGTATAACATGGAATAACATGAAATAACCTGGAATAACATGGAATAACATGGAATAACATGGAATAACATGGTATAACATGGTATAACATGGTAGAACATGGTATAACATGGAATAACATGGTATAACATGGTAGAACATGGAATAACATGGTATAACATGGAATAGCATGGTATAACATGGAATAACATGGAATAGCATGGAATAACATGGTACAACATGGAAGAACCTGCTATAACATGGAATAACATGGTATGACATGGAAGAGCATGGAATAAAATGGAATAACATGGTATAACATGGAAGAACATGGAATAACATGGTATAACATGGAATAACATGGAATAACATGGAATAACATGGTATAACATGGTATAACATGGAATAACCTGGTAAAAACATAGTATGTTATGGTATAACATGGTAAAACACGGAATAACATGGTATAACATGGTAAAACATGGAATAACATGGTATAACATGGAATGACATGGTAAAACATGGAAAAACATGGAATAACATGGAATAACATGGAATAACATGGAATAACATGGTACAACATGGAGTAACCTGGTATAACATGGTATAACATGGAATAACATGAAATAACCTGGAATAACATGGAATAACATGGTATAACATGGTATAACATGGAATAACATGAAATAACCTGGAATAACATGGTATAACATGGTATAACATGGTATAACATGGTATAACATGGTAGAACATGGAATAACATGGTATAACATGGAATAACATGGTAAAACATGGTAGAACATGGAATAACATGGTATAACATGGTACAACATGGTAAAACATGGAATAACATGGAATGACATGGTATGTTATGGTATAACATGGAATAACGTGGAATAACATGGAATAACATGATAAAACATGGTATAACATGGTATAACATGGTATAACATGGAATACCATGGTATAACATGGAATAGCATGGAATAACATGGAATAACATGGTATAACATGGTATAACATGGTATAACGTGGTATAACATGGTACAACATGAAACATGGTACAACATGGTATAACATGGAATAACATGGTATAACATGGTATAAAATAGTATATAACATGGAATAACATGGTATAACATGGAATAACATGGTATAACATGGTATAACATGGAATGACATGGTATAACATGGAATAGCATGGAATAACATGGTACAACATGGAAGAACCTGCTATAACATGGAATAACATGGTATGACATGGAAGAACATGGAATAACATGGAATAACATGGTATAACATGGAAGAACATGGAATAACATGGTATAACATGGAATAACATGGAATAACATGGAATAACATGGTAGAACATGGTAGAACATGGAATAACATGGAATAGCATGGTATAACATGGAATAACATGGAATAACATGGAATAACATGAAATAACATGGAATAACCTAGTATAACATGGTATAACATGGACTAACATGGTATAACATGGTATAACATGGAATAACATGGAATAACATGAAATAACATGGAATGACATGGTATAACATGGTATAACATGGAATAACATGAAATAACCTGGAATAACATGGAATAACATGGAATAACATGGTATAACATGGTATGTTATGTTATAACATGGAATAACGTGGAATAACATGGAATAACATGAAATAACCTGGAATAACATGGAATGACATGGTATAACATGGTAAAACATGGAAAACATGGAATAGCATGGAATAACATGGAATAACATGGTATAACATGGAATAACATGGAATAACCTGGTATAACATGGTATGCTATGGTATAACATGGTATAACACGGAATAACATGGTTTAACATGGTATAACATGGAATAACATGGTATAACATGGTATAACATGGAATAACATGGTATAACATGGAATGACATGGTAAAACATGGTAAAACATGGTATAACATGGAATAACATGGGCTAACATGGAATAACATGGAATAACATGGAATAACATGGAATAACATGGAATAACATGGAATAACATGAAATAACATGGAATGACATGGTATAACATGGTATAACATGGAATAACATGAAATAACCTGGAATAACATGGAATAACATGGAATAACATGGAATAACATGGTATAACATGGTATGTTATGGTATAACATGGAATAACGTGGAATAACATGGAATAACATGGAATAACATGGTAGAACAAAGAGTAATTATATAAATACTCCAGTACTAGTTAGCTCTCTTCGGTGGCCTCTCAACGCCCCTCAACCCGCCAGGAGACTTGACTCATCCTCTTCCTGGCGAGAATGGATGTTCTTTGGATCGTAGGGCATAAAATGATGCATTACACCGAGTCAGTTTGGTGTGTTCTTGGGATTTTGGATATTTTGGTATGCTTTGCTTCTGTGTGAAACGGCATAGTTACTGTTTGAAACGCTCACGCGGGACAAACTGAAATACAACAAAATGGGCGTAATTTCAGTCTATATGCCAAGTATGCGCTGCGAGAAAAAAAAGAAACACTACCAATAATAGATGGTTCCCCTATTTAGACCACCATTTACAATATTTATAAAGAGTTTTACATTGCCGAGTTTGATTACCAAAGGGTACATGTGAAAGTATTTGTTTTGAGGCATACCTCTACGTGGTTGTTTGAAAGCACCAGCCAAAATTGCTGTTTCCGCACAGGAGCATGAAGCAATCGCGGAAAACAATTAATTAATACAAGGTGGCGCCCACCCAGTAATAAGTTGGCTTATAAACCCCATTAACTATATGTAGTTATATTTCCCATAAGCCCGACTCAACCAAGTTACAAGTCAACTTAGCTTTGCTAACTATGGGGCACCACCTTGTAGGTATCACGGTATCAGTGAATCAAGTGGCAACTCGGCAAAAGCGCCACGATTCTGCCATTCCAAACTACCAAGCCAAACCAATCCTTGACGCTGGGTTGTAAGGCCTGTGCAATCTGCTGCATATGAACAAACACTTTCCAACCTGTGAAACCTCCGAGTTTCACCAACCAATATCGATTCATTCCTACCATTACTCCCACTTCAAGGCTTCGGCTTCGGATGAGTGAGAAGATCACCCTCCACTATGCCTGGTAATGGAAAACTGTCTTTATTTATTCATTGCTAAGGAGGTTAAACAACACAGATTTTTTTATAATCAATGATCCACATTGATCCACTATTTCATGGGTGTTGGATAAATTGTAAAACTGGTTCTGGGTGGAAAACCATCCGTCTTTGACAAATGTGAGTTTGTCAGTTGAACAAACATCATCCCTTAGTTTTTTTGTGGAGCATAAGAAACTTTCACCACCAAGCAGTATCAACCAGTATCATCATGGGTTACATATTGCATGAAATCCCCATTGTGTACATGTATATATGTATAATATTATATCAAGCTGTACCTATATATATATATAATGTATATGATAAAGAAATATATATATATATATATATTATGTATATGATAAATATACATCATTCATACATGCATATCCCCATTATATATGCTTAAATCCGGTTACTTCCCCGTATTTCTTGGTGAAGCAAACCATCAACATTTTGGCCGTGAACACATCCGCCAAAGCACCGCCTTCGCCAGATCTTTCACCTCTACAGGCGGTGATGCCACTGCTGCCACCGGTGGTGTCTCCGCGGTCTCCTGAAGCGAGGCCCCCTATCGATCCTATTGAGGACGCCGAGGAGATTTTGGTGCAAAGCCAAGGAAGTACCTACAATGCTGGTGCCCCAAGTCGTTTGCGAAGTTGGCGCAAATAAGTCCAATACCTTGGCTTTTGAATAGATATATGATAAATGCAGATGCATCTATACGTAATGGGGGGTCGAAACCAACTTATAACTGATATTGTTGGTGTTTTTGAAGGTTTATTCCAAAGGAAACATGGGGAAATTAAGGGTGATGTAGCTGAAGCTATTTGGATAACTCTTGGTGAAGCTTCGGATATAAAGAACATATCCCTAAAGATAAGAACATGTACATGTATAAATACCTTTAAACAACATAGTGTGCATTTCTGTGGTATATATATATATGTGTATAATATATTTTTAATTATTTTAAAATATATTATGTACATTCCTAACCCCCACACCAAGATTGACAAATGGACAAAACAAACATGAAGCCCAACCCAAGAATGGGCGCCAGAAAATCACCGTATACCGTATGCCCTCAGTTGCTCTTCCCAGGGAATGCCATTTCCTCAAACACATCCATATTATGTACATGATTAACCACTGAAATATAGCAGAACCATGTTCTCT